CAAAGGTCTCGTTTGAGGCTGAGTCGACCTAGCGGAGGCCTAGTACCGGTTCAGATCACCGTCACCTGTGTTGGCCGTTGATACTCGTTCCATTCTCTCAAAGCGAAGATGTTTTATTATGTTGAGTTGGACTTGAGCAAGACGTTGCATGAACCGCCACATGCGCCGTGATGGCTGGGCATTACGCGCTGCCCTTGGGGGCCGGCCTGAGACCGTCAGTTCGCTTCACCCGACGACCCCGAATCATCACCACTCAGTCCATGCGAGTCTGTGGGTCTCTAAGTCTGCGGCTCACTGAGCGAGTCGACGATTGTCCGTGCGAGTCCACGGCTCTCTTCTGTAAGTCTACGTATGCGTACTCTTAGGTTTTGTCGGTAAAGTCACGTAGGGGGAAATAAATAAATAATAAAATACATAATTAAAGCAATATAAATAAAATAATAAATCACGACGTTTCTTAGTTTTTTTCGGTAAAGTAACGTAGGTAAAAATAAATAAATTATACAAATAAAAAATTACTCCCGTTATTTTGATGTGCCTTTTTACACCTGATGAAGGAAGCTTGTGTTGCCTCCGAAACGTCGTGATTTCTTATTTTATTTCTATTATTATTTCTATTAGTTTTATTATGAATATGTTTATTATTTATTTATTTTTTACCTACGTGACTTTACCGAAACAACCTAAGAGTATGAATCCTTGCAGTCACGAAAGCTTCAAATTTAGAATCTCTGTATGCGTCTCTACGTCGAACATTCTGGTTCTGTGTGTCAATCGGTGGCTACCGGGGCCATCAACTCACCCCCACTTGAAAAAGCGGCCTCATCGCCGCGATTCGAACTCTGGCTCGCCCTCTCGTCGGTCAACTCGAGCACAGCTCAGAGCGGATTGAAGACGAATCGGGACAGTGGACGGAGCGGGCGCTCTGTCGCCTCTCCTCCAGCCCTTCCCCTCCACCCGGTTCGGTCGTGAACTTCAGGGCTCAGCCAGGGGTCTGCGCTGATACGGACACCCTGGCTGCATCCCAGATCCTGTGACCCCCCCCCCACTCCCTCTGGAATAATAATGACGTCTTATTAATAAGAATGTTTCATTTATTAATAAACGAGAGCCGCACTATTGTTCAGGAGGACCCCGCTGCTGCTGCCGCTGCTGCCGCATTTGAGGTTTCATTCGAAAGATGTTTTCGGTCCCAATTAACGACGAGTCGAATGTATTACCCACGTGGCGGGAAACCAGACGGCGACCAGGGCACACGTGCTGCGCCGCCTTCTCCTGGCGCGCCAGGGCAGGGCACGGCACCTCCCTCGAGGCCCACGGCGAGGGAGAGGGTCGCGACCGCCCGCGCGCTCATCCAGCAACCCGCGCCGCTCCCTCCACAGCGCTGAGTGAGACGCCACCGACGATGTCTTCCGGCCGCCACCTCGTTCCGTGCTCCAAGCCAAGAGCTCCCGCTCCCTCGCATGTAGACCCCCCCCCCTATTTCCACCCCCCCCCCTCGGCCTTCCTGCCGCCGTTCCCCGGGGCCTCCGTATTTTCCTTGGCGAGGGATGCGCGGCCCCCGGCCCCGCCGCGTTATCAGCTCGCGTCTCCGGCGCTCCGAGATGAATGTCCCCTCCGCGGGGATTGTCACGCACGCGGGAAGTGGGGGGGGGGGGGGGTAGGTGGGGGATCCCCGGACTCTGCCGAGCGCCCCCCCCCCCCCGCGAAGAGCAAAGGGGGGCCACGGAGAACGAGGAGGGCGAGGGGATGAGGGAGAGAGAGAGAGCAGGCGAGGTGCACTCTGAGGTTACCACCGCGACAGACCCAGGTGCCATAGGTCGACTGACTGAGATGACTGTCGGATGTACCACCTCTGCTCCCCATTTAAACTAAAATAATTTCTCATTCACCAGGAAAGGCCTCACTGAGCGATGTAGCTTTGTTTTCGGAAGCGACCTGGCTACAAATGATAGCTCAACGAAGTGGCCTATCGCGTGTGCATTTATAGTAGCCACAAATGTGGAAGACTCAGAGAAAAATCAATGCGACCATGGGGAGAACATGCAAACTCCAAATATACAGGCGTCAACCACCTCCTGGTGTACCAGGCGAGGTAGTTTGCATCTCGCCACCGCGCCCCTACTGTGCCAACTCGCGGCGTTTTATCCACCGGCGCACGCTCGTTGTTGTGAGCGTCGTTCCTCTGCCCTCCGTTGTTGCTGGAGGGCGACTGCCTCCAATTGCCCAGCAGCAGCAGCGTCCTCCACAGAGGCCGATCTTGACACCGCTGGTACCGGTCATCGGCAAGTCCCACTCAGCTCCACGTCCTCCTGTACCGCATCAGCCAATCTCGAACCCCACCACCTCCACTAATAAACACTACCACCATTATCGTATATCATCGTTATCATCAACACTCCCAGGATATCGTCACAGTGAAATGTTTTCGCATGGTATGATTTAAATTGGCTCCATAGCTGCTCTACTTTATTTGTTTTGTTTTCGTAATGGAAAAACATATTAATCTATCCACTCCCACTCCACTCATACTCCACTCACACTCCACTCATATTCACACTCCATTCACACTCCACTCACACTGCACTCATATTCACACTCCACTCACACACCACTCACACTCCACTCATATTCACACTCCACTCACACTCCACTTACACTCCATTCACACTCCACTCACACTCCACGAAAACTCCACTCACACTCCACTCACACTCCACTCACACTCCACTCATACACTCACACGCCAATCACACTCCACTCATATTCACACTCCACTCACACTCCACGAAAACTCCACTCACACTCCACGCACATTCCACTCCACTCACACTCCACTCACACTCCACTCATATTCACACTCCACTCGCACTCCACTCACACTCGCACACCACTCACACTCTACTCACACTCCACTCACACTCCTCTCATATTCACACTCCACTCACACTCCACTCCACTCACACCCACACTCACACTCCACTCACACTCCACTCACACTGCACTCATATTCACACTCATACTCCACACACACTCCACTCATATTCACACTCCACTCACACTCCACTCACACTCCACTCATATTCACACTCCACTCACACTCCACTCACACTCCACTCATATTCACACTCCACTCACACTCCACTCACACTCCACTCATATTCACACTCCACTCACACTCACACTCCACTCACACTCCACTCATATTCACACTCCACTCACACTCACACTCCACTCACACTCCACTCATATTCACACTCCACTCATACTCACAATCCACTCACACTCCACTCACACTCACACTCCACTCACCACCACCGCCACCAACCTCCTACTCACCGTCACCACCATCAATCAGCACCCTGGCAGCGCACCGCGACAAGCTGCCCGTCAACACCCCACCTCTGGGTGACAACAAACCGAGTGACACCGAAGATGGGCACGTTCCAAACGCCCCCACCCCTCACCCCCCACCACCCCCGGAGTGAAATTGAACAGCACAGCGCACTTTTGTGTCCAGCACCACGCTGACAAAATCAGCCCCAGCTCCCCCACTCAGCAGCTTCGCTCACCCCCCCCGCCACTCACCACCTCCCCACGCGTCGTTATCTTACTCGGCGCTACTCAGCGAGTTAATTGGCGCTAACTCGCAATAAGCGATCCGCTCCGACGGAAGAGGAGACCGCTGATGTCATGGCGAACGATGGAACCTCCCGATCGGAATCTGCGCAGCGATGATTTCATATATTCTGTGGCCGGGTTCCAGGTTTTCAGCGGGCCGCGTGGCTCAGCGGGCGCGCAATCGGGAGGCCGCGAGCTTTTATTCAGATTGGGGGATTCACTCAGCCCACCGTTCCTCCGGGGGGTCGATAAAACGAGTACCACTTTGTGAGAAACACCAAAGGCGACTGCTGCCATCGGAACGTGGAGTTTCCGCCACTGGCTCACGTTGACTTGTTGACCTTCCTTGTCGCAGGTACCAAGCGGCCGTCAGTGCACCTCCTCGCCTTCGTCCGCCGAGCCGGCGCCGCTGAGCGCGCTGGGTTCGAATCCGGGCTGCGTTCTGAGTTTGCGTCACCTGCGATTAAACCGTGTTCTCAAGTTCAGCAAGTTGATGGTCTCAGCTCGAGTGTGCAATGACCGCACACACAACACACACACACACGCGCACACACACACACACGCACGCGCGCACACACACGCGCGCACGCACACACACACGCGCACACACACGCACACACACACACACGCGCGCGCACACACACACACACGCGCACACACACGCACACACACACACACGCGCGCGCACACACACACACGCGCACACACACACGCACACACACGCGCACACACATACGCGCGCGCACACACGCGCGCACACATGCAACGCGCGCGCGCACGCGCGCATTCCAAGAGGTTACCGTTTAAATCGGCAAATTTCTCGGTTCTGAGAATGAAAAAGCTCGGGTTGATTGCCGCGCGCCGATGTTCATCTCGAGCGGGACGTGTGAGCGAGCGCAGCGCCCCATCGTGTGCCGAGAACAGAGGGCACTTGAAGCGATCTCGGAAGTAGTTCTGTGATATCTCTTCCGCGGGCTGCTCTCCAGCACAGCGGGGAGGCTCACCCAGCACCAACTCCAGACACCACCTCCCCCCCTCCCCTCTACCCCCCCCCCACCACATCTTCCAGCTCCCCCAACTCTCACTCTTCCCTCCCATCTCCTCGCCCCCCCCCGACCCTCCCCATCTCATCCCTCCCCTCCACCCCCTCCCATCACCAAACTTCCCCCCCCCCCTCTTTTCGTCCCTCCCATACCCATCTCCCCCACCTCCCAGCATCACCCCCGCTCTCTTTACCCCCCCCCCTCTCCCGCCTCTCTCTCAATCTCACTCCCCCTTCACCACCCCGCCCCCTCCCTCCCCTTACCCCCTCGCTCCCCCCCCCCCCCACTCCGAGGTGTCCCCCGTGCCGCGGCTCCCAGCCGGGCTCAGGTGCGCGCCGCGCCGCAGGAGCCATGATCCCCTCTCACGCCGCCACCAGCAGGGCCAATGGCTTCGCCCCTCGCTACTCACCGGGACAGAACCCCCCCGCACGGGGCTCCTCTTCGGGGAACGCCGAGCTCATACTGCTCAGAGACACGCAAGCACCGCCACCGCCATCGCCATCATCAGCAGCAGCAGCACCGCCCGCCGTATCCGACGCTCTTCTTCTCGAGTCTCGAGGTGCCGCGCTGAGTCGCGACCCCGCGGCGCCGCCGGGCAGCGCTGGGGAAGCTCCGCGAGACACGTGGGGGAGGAAGGTGGACTTCCTGCTGTCCGTCGTCGGCTTCGCCGTGGACCTGGGCAACGTGTGGCGGTTCCCTTACGTGTGCTACCAGAACGGTGGAGGTGCGCTCCGGAACACGTGTCTGTGTGCGTGCGTGCGTGACTGTGTGTGTCTGCGTGCGTGCGTGCGTGTGTCTGTGTGTCTGTGTGTGTGCGTGTGTGTGTGCGTGCGTGTGCGTCTGTGTGTGCGTGTGTGTCTGTGTGTATGTGTGTGTGCGTGCGTGTGCGTCTGTGTGTGCGTGTATGTCTGTGTGTGTGTATGCGTGTGTCTTTGTATGTGCATCTGTGTGTGTCTGTGTGTATATGTGTGTATGCGTGTGTCTGTAAATGTGCATCTGTGTGTGTGTCTGTATGTGTGTGCATGTGTGTGTCTGTGTATGTGCATCTGTGTGTGTCTGTGTGTGTGTCTGTGTGTGTGTGCATGTGTGTGTCTGTGTATGTGCATCTGTGTGTGTGTGTCTGTATGTGTGTGAATGCGTGTCTGTGTGTGTCTGTGTATGTGTATGTCTGTGTGTGCATCTGTGTGTGTGTGTATCTGTATGTGTCTGTGTGTGTTATGGGGAGCGGTGGTGTAGCGGTTAGCGCGCTGGGCTACGAACCTGACGCACCGAGTTCGATTCCCGCTCACGGCCAACACCAGTGACGACTATCTGAACCGGTCCTGGGCCTCCCGTAGGTCGACTCAGTCTCAAATTATTGCCTAGTACGATGTGTAAATATCGCCACTAGGGAGACAAAGGCGGCCAGGCGTGGTGCTGGCCACCCACCCCTTCGTGTGCCGTTCCGGCCTTGCTGCTCGCTAAAAGCACTTGCCCCAACAGTCTGCTACAGGCTACACGGGGGATCTTCGTGTTATGGGGAGCGGTGGCGCAGTGGTTAGCGTGCTACGCTACGAACCAGAGGTCGCAAACGGGTTTTGATTCCTTACCCGTACCCGGCCGCACCAGGGTCGCAAACGGGTACCCGTACCCGGCCGTACCCGTACCCTAGCCGTACCCGGCCGGGTAGGGTACGGGTACGGCCGGGTACCTGATTGCGATTGCGACCTCTGGGATGAAGCCATGTTGCAGGCGCGGGTGGGTTGATTCTCGGAACTTGAATTGTGAGAAGAGACAAGACGTTGGGAAATGAATGACAAACAGTTACTCACCAGTGACTCACAGTCTACCCGTACCCAGGGTCGCAAACGGGTACCCGTGTGCTGTGTGTATGCTGTGTGTATGCTGTGTGTATGCTGTGTGTACGCTGTGTGTGTGCTGTGTGTGTACGATGTGTGTGTGCTGTGTGTATGCTGTGTGTACGCTGTGTGTGTGCTGTGTGTGTGCTGTGTGTGCTGTGTGTACGCTGTGTGTACGCTGTGTGTGCGCTGTGTGTGCGCTGTGTGTACGCTGTGTGTACGCTGTGTGTACGATGTGTATGTGCAGTGTGTGTGCGCACGCTGCCGTCTTTACTTGAGCGTCATTCAACATTGTTATGTTAAATTGTTGCTACATTTATCTAAACTTTGTTAAATGTAAAATGTTAAAAACTCTGTACGCTTTAAATGTCTCGATGTAACCCAGCACGGTTGGCTGCGAGCGGTGCGAAATAAGTTTAACACACACACACAAACACACACACACAAACACACACACACACAAACACACACACAAACACACACACACACACAAACACACACAAACACACACACAAACACACACAAACACACACACAAACACACACACAAACACACACACACACACAACACAAACACACAAACACACACACACAAACACACACACAAACACACACAAACAAACACACACACAAACACACACACAAACACACACACAAACAAACACACACACACAAACACACACACAAACACACAAACACAAACACACAAACAAACACACACACACACAAACACGCACACACAAACACACACACAAACACACCCAAACACACACACACAAACACACACACACACAAACACACACACAAACACACACACACACAATCACACACAAACACACACACAAACACACACACAAACACACAAACAAACACACAAACAAACACACACAAACACACACACAAACACACACACACACACAAACACACACACAAACACACACACTAACACACACAAACACACACACAAACAAACACACACACAAACACACACACACACAAACACACACACAAACACACACACACAAACACACACACACAAACACACACACACAAACACACACACACAACACACACACACAACACACACACACAACACACACACACAACACACAACACACACACACAAACACAAACACACACAAACACACACACAAACACACACACAACACACACACACAAACACACACAAACACACAAAACACACACACAACACAAACACACACACAAACACACACAAACACACACACACAAACACACACACACACAAACACACACACACAAACACACACACACAAACACACACACACACAAACACACACACACAAACACACACACACACTAACACAAACACACACACAGGTCGCCCTGACAGCAGACCGTCGTGTTCTTAACCTTTCTGGGGATCATTGAGTGTCCGGGCTAATGAACATGACGCGGGACGACTGACGAGTAGGGGGGGGGGCACAAGGGCGAGGGGGGCACTGGCACTTGGAATCGCCACGAGTCGTCGACTCCGGGAGCACGTGACCGCGTTTGGCGTGCGGCGCGCGCGTCCGCCTTTGTCTTCCCCAACCCCGTAATGTCCACGAGGCGTGTCGGGCTACTCGTTTAGGGCCGAGTGTACCTAACGGTGGCCCACGCGAGGTTGAACCGCCGATCGCCACCGACAAAGAGTGTGTGTGTGAGTGCACGCATCACCACGACACGAGTGTGTGAGTGTGTGTGTTAGTGTGTGAGTGTGTGTGTTAGTGTGTGAGTGAGTGTGTGTGAGTGTGTGTGAGTGTATGTGAGTGTGTGTGTGAGTGTGTGAATGAGTGTGAAAGTGTGAGAGTGTGAGTGCGTGAGAGTGAATGAGTGTGAGTGGGGGAGAGTGAGTGAGTGGGAGTGTGAGAGTGTGTGAGTGTGAGTGAGTGTAAGAGTGTGAGTGCGTGAGAGTGAGTGAGTGTGAGAGTGTGAGTGAGTGTGTTAGTGTGTGTGAGTATGTGAGTGAGTGTGTGAGTGAGTGAGTGTGTGAGTGAGTGAGTGTGTGAATGAGTGTGTTAGTGTGTGTGAGTATGTGTGTGTGTGTGAGTGTGTGTGTGTGAGTGTGTGAGTGAGTGAGTGTGTGAGTGTGTGTGAGTGAGTATGTGTGAGTGTGTGTGAGTGTGTGTGAGTGTGTGAGTGAGTATGTGAATGAGTGTGAAAGTGTGAGAGTGTGAGTGCGTGAGAGTGAATGAGTGTGAGTGGGGGAGAGTGTGAGAGTGTGAGTGGGAGTGTGAGAGTGTGTGAGTGTGAGTGAGTGTAAGAGTGTGAGTGCGTGAGAGTGAATGAGTGTGAGAGTGTGAGTGAGTGTGTTAGTGTGTGTGAGTATGTGAGTGAGTGTGTGAGTGAGTGAGTGTGTGAGTGAGTGAGTGAGTGTGTGAATGAGTGTGAGTGTGTGTGAGTGTGTGAGTGTGTGAGTGTGTGAGTGTGAGTGAGTGTGTGAGTGAGTGAGTGTGTGAATGAGTGTGAGTGTGTGTGAGTGTGTGTGTGAGTGTGTGAGTGTGTGAGTGTGAGTGAGTGTGTGAGTGTGAGTGAGTGTGTGAGTGTGTGAGTGTGTGTGTGAGTGTGTGAGTGTGTGTGAGTGAGTGTGTGAGTGAGTGAGTGTGTGAGTGTGAGTGAGTGTGTGAGAGTGAGTGTGAGTGAGTGTGTGAGTGAGTGTGTGTGAGTGAGTGTGTGTGTGACGTCACCACGGTTGTTGTTGTGTGTGTGAGTGTGTGTGAGAGTGTGAGTGAGACTTTCTCATCTGCGCCGCGGGACTGCATCGTTACCTGGTTTACAAGCTGGGGGGGGGGCGGTGGCGGGGGGCTCATACGCGAACTCAGGAGAGGCGGTGTAGGGGTGGGGGCCTGCTCCGCGTTAAACCAACTCGGAGCAAACGTGAACGGCGACAGCGGGTCCCGCGATGCTGCCGCTCATGTGAAACACCGCGCCAGGGATCGCGTGCTTTTGACTCTGCGAATTTAGAACTTGGGGGGGTGGGGGGGCTGAAGCTTCAGTAGGGGAAGGGGGGGGGGTCAGGGTTCAGCTCACTTCAGCCCCCCAGATGCTGCGGGAGTGCTCTGCGTACACACAGCGTACACACGTGTCGCATTGCCTCTCCGGCCAGACGCAGCTGCCCGGTCTCCAATCTCCCCCTCGGCTAACCCGGCTACCACGGGGGTCCCGGATGGATGTGCCCCCCTCCCCGCGCCACCCCCCCTCCCCCAGGAGCCTTCCTCTTCCCCTACATGGTGATGGTTGTGTTTGGGGGGGTCCCTCTCTTCTACATGGAGCTGGCGCTGGGCAGTTCCACCGAACGGGAGCCATCTCGCTGTGGAGCAAGATCTGCCCCCTCTTCAAAGGTACGGGGACACGGGCGGGGAGCGGGGTGTCAGGACATTCGGGCACACAGCGGCAGCGTAGTGCACAGGCGTGGTCGTATACAGGTACGCCCGTCATATAGGTGTGCACACATATGGGGGTGCTGGTATACACGCGGGCCGGTATATAGGTACAGTACACATATGCCCATTTTCAGGTGTGGGGTCGTCCATAAATGACGTCATGCATATGGGGGGGGGTCAGACATTTGTGACGATGTGTGACGGGGGGGTGGGGGTTGAGAAATGTGACGTCACATCAAAATGCGCAACTTTTAATAAATACAGACAACACGTTCTACTTAATTAAATAGACGTTTTAATAAATGTTTTCTCTTACAACATCAGAGTGCAGCGCCATATTAAATACGCACTACAATGACAATAGTTTAAAGAGATTTGAAGCATGTTTTATTTTGGGGGGGGGAAGCTTTGTGACGTCATATTTGAGGGGGGGGGGGTCTGACTTTTTGTGACGCCGTGTGACGAAGGGGGAGGGGGGTCAAAAATCGTCAAAATCGCGTGACGTCATTTTTGGACGGCCCCTGTATCTGTATACAGGTGTGTCTGTGCGCAGCTGTATATATACAGGTGTGTTTGTCAACAGGTGTGCCTCTATACCCATGTGCTCGTATCTCGAGGTGCCCGTGTGCACGTGTCGCTCTCTGCTGTACCCCCCCCCGCCCCCCTAACACCCGGGATCCGACCCGCAACCCCCCGGCGCCAGGCGTGGGCTACGCGATCTGCGTGATGTCGCTCTACGTCGCCTTCTACTACAACACGGTGATCGCCTGGGCGCTGTTCTACCTCTACTCGAGCCTCACCGCGGAGCTGCCCTGGGCGCACTGCGACAACGCCTGGAACACTCCCCACTGCTCCGACTACTTCCTGCGCGACAACTCCACGTGGGGGGCGCACTCGCGATCGCCCGCCGAGGAGTTCTACACGTGAGCTGCGTCGGTGGGGGTGTGGGGGGGGGCGGGGGTGTGGGGGGGGGGCGGGGGGGGCAGACAGGGTGATACCGGAGTCACGTGTGGGACATGGGCGGGCGGGACGTGCGGGGGGCCACAGAACGCGTGGGACATGTGGCTCTTGACTCGGGTGCAAGCGCAACAAGCAAAAACATGAACAAGAAACATCTTAAAGTGACTTCACGCAACAGAAAAATCCAGGGAAAAACATCAAAGTCTTCCAGAAAAAACACTGCGTTTCAACGCTGTGTACAAACATCCCAGTGGGATGCAAGTCAAACAATAACAAGCATAAGACAATTTTGATTACAGTTAACAGTCTAACTCTGTACTACAACAAACAAATATGGGTAAACCAAAACGTTTACGAACTCACCGAAATAAAGCGATAAAAACAATGTAACAGTGATCATAGGAACTGTGATTCAAATGTAACAATAAACGATATACACATAACATGTACGACCAAACTTTGCAGCCATAGCTGGCAGCATGAGTCCCTCCATAACAGCAGGAGTATCAGTTAGGAGTATCAACATTTTTCAATGCACAGCAGCGGACCATGCGTGGAACGCATCATCGCTACGACTACCATCACCAACATCATCACATCCCTTCCAAGACAACGATCCCCCGTGTAGCCCTATCAGACTGTTGAGCAGCACCTACGAAGGCCGGTGCCGCGCACGAGGGTTGGGTGACCAACACTACGCCTCCGATTAGCACGCTTGGCTACGTACGGTGCGAAAGAAGTCCATCGTATATCCCGACTGATAACACTGGTCAACAACAACAAAAACATATTTTTCTGGCCTGGACTTTTGCAGCTGTTTTAGACTAATTTCAGGGTGCTGATTCCAAATCTGATCTCAGATTTGCTCTATCACATCTCGTTTTTATGCTATCGGCATACCCCATTTTCATTGATTTTACCCGAAATTAACTCTGTCACTTATGATTGCAAGTTGTTGCGAGTCAGTGACTGCTTTAGTATATGGTGCTGTATTTTTAGGATAGTGTGTTTATAATATAATTTTATGTAGATATCCACATTTATTTAATTTTTTTCTGCAGTTTTTTTTTGAAAATGCAATATTTGATATCTCAAAAACCTGATGTGATAGACAAAAACTGTGTAGACCCGTGTAATATTTAAACATCGCACCAGCGACCTATTCGCATATTCACTGTCGCCGGTGTTGGCCGTGAGCGGAAATTGAACTCGGGTGACCGGGTTCGTAGCGGAGGGCGCTAATCACCGTGCCACCGCTCCCTCTTCCACGCGCCACACTCTACCACCATTACCACGGCCACCACCACCATCACGACCACCCCCACCACGGCCACCACCACCTCCACCACCACCACCCCCACCACCACGGCCACCACCACCGCCACCACCACCACCACGGCCACCACCACCACCCACATCACCACCACCACCATCACCCCCACCACCACCACCACGACCCCCCCCCCCACCACCACCACCCACATCACCACCACCACCACCCACATCACCACCACCACCACTACCACCACCACCACCACCACGGCCACCACCACCACCACCCCCACCACCATCACCACGGCCACCACCACCCCCACCACCACCACCGCCACCACCACCCCCACCACGGCCACCACCACCACCCCCACCACCACCACCACCACCCCCACCACCACCACCACCACCTTGCAGGCGGCACGTGCTGGGCCTGCACAACGCGTGGGGGCTGGAGGACGTGGGCTGGCTGCGTTGGCCGCTCGTGGCGTGCGTCGCGCTCGTCTTCCTCGCCGTCTACTTCTCCCTGTGGAGGGGGGTGCGCACGTCCGGCAAGGCGAGTCCCTGGGGGGGGGGGGGGCTACGGGGGCGCTTGGGGGGGGTCTTGAGACGTAAGGGGACCCCCCCTCCCCTCTCGCCCCAATCTCCATCTGTTGGTAAGTGGTGGAGATGGGGGTTGTTGTGCAGATCGGGAGTGAGCGTAGACAGTGGGGACATAGCTGTTTGTCAATTCTGGGGGGAATGGAGTGGCTGAGCGCGGCGTGGTGGAGCGCGGCGTGGTGGAGCGTGGCGTGGTGGAGCGTGGTGGAGTACGGCGTGGTGGAGCGTGGCGTGGTGGAGCGTGGTGGAGTACGGCGTGGTGGAGCGTGGCGTGGTGGAGCGTGGCGTGGTGGAGCGTGGCGTGGTGGAGCGTGGCGTGGTGGAGCGCGGCGTGGTGGAGCGTGGCGTGGTGGAGCGCGGCGTGGTGGAGCGCGGCGTGGTGGAGCGTGGTGGAGCGTGGCTGAGCGCTGCGTGTGGGCTTCAGGTGGTGTGGTTCACCGCCACGTTCCCCTACCTGGTGCTGGGCGTGCTGGTGCGCGGGGCCACCCTGCCCGGCGCGTGGCGCGGGGTGCGCTTCTACCTCACCCCCAACTGGGACCGCCTCCTCGACAGCGAGGTGCGTGGAGTGGGGGCCGCGAGGGGGCGGCTGACGGGGGTCCCCTATCGGGGTCTAATGTTGGGACCCGGGTTGTGTAGATGATGGGTGGGTGATAATGAGTGGGTGATGATGGGGGGTGAGGATGGGTGGGTGATGATGGGTGGGTGATGATGGGTGGGTGAGGATGGGTGGGTGATGATGGGTGGGTGATGATGGGTGGGTGATGATGGGTGATGATGATGAGTGAGTGATGATGGGTGGGGATATGGGTGGGTGAGGATGGGTGGGTGATGATGGGTGGGTGATGATGGTGGGTGATGATGGGTGGGTGAGGATGGGTGGGTGAGGATGGGTGGTGATGATGGGTGGTGATGATGGGTGGTGTGATGGATGGGTGGGTGATGATGGGTGGGTGATGATGGGTGGGTGAGGATGGGTGGGTGGAGGATGGGGGGTTGAGGATGGGTGGGTGGATGATGGGTGGGTGATTGATGGGTGGGTGATGATTGGGTGGGTGAGGATGGGTGGGTGAGGATGGGTGGGTGAGGATGGGTGGGTGATGATGGGTGGGTGATGATGGGTGGGTGATGATGGGTGGGTGAGGATGGGTGGGTGAGGATGGGTGGGTGATGATGGTGGGTGATATGGGTGGGTGATGATGGGTGGGTGAGGATGGGTGGGTGAGATGGGTGGGTGGGATGGGTGGGTTGATGATGGGTGGGTGATGATGGGTGGGTGATGATGGGTTGGGTGATGATGAGTGGGTGATGATGGGTGGGTGAGGATGGGTGGGGTGAGATTGGGTGGTGAGGATGGGTGGGTGATGATGGGTGGGTGATGATGGGTGGGTGATGATGGGTGATGATGATGAGTGAGTGATGATGGGTGGGTGAGGATTGGGGGTGATGATGGTGGGTGATGGGTGGGTGAGGATGGGTGGGTGAGGATGGGTGGGTGATGATGGGTGGGTGATGATGGGTGGGTGAGGATGGGGTGGGTGATGGGTGATATGGGTGGGTGATGATGGGTGGGTGAGATGGGTGGGTGAATGGGTGGTGATGATGAGCTGGTGAGGCGATGTGGTGTGAGGGTGAGCTGGCGAGGCGATGGTGTGTGAGAGTGAGCTGGTGAGTGGGGGTGAGCTGGTGAGGCGATGGTGAGTGGAGGTGAGCTGGTGAGGTGATGGTGAGTGGGGTGTGCTGGTGAGGCGATGGTGAGTGGGTGTGAGCTGGTGAGGTGAGGATGAGTGGGGTGAGCTGGTGAGGTGATAGTAAGTGGGGGTGAGTTTGTGAGGTGATGGTGAGTGGGTGTGAGCTGGTGAGGTAGGATGAGCTGTGAGGTGAGGGTGCGTGGGGGTGAGCTGTGAGGTGATGGTGAGTGGGGGTGAGCTGGTGAGGTGAGGGTGCGTGGGGGTGAGCTGGTGAGGTGATGGTGAGTGGGGGTGAGCTGGTGAGGTGATGGTGAGTGGGGGTGAGCTGGTGAGGTGATAGTGAGTGGGTGAGCTGGTGAGGTGATGGTGCATGAGGGTGAGCTGGTGAGGTGATGGTGAGTGGGGGTGAGCTGGTGAGGTGATGGTGCATGAGGGTGAGCTGGTGAGGTGATGGTGAGTGGGGTGAGCTGGTGAGGTGATGGTGCATGAGGGTGAGCTGGTGAGGTGATGGTGCATGAGGGTGAGCTGGTGAGGTGATGGTGCATGAGGTGAGCTGGTGAGGTGATAGTGAGTGGGGTGAGCTGGTGAGGTGATGGTGAGTGGGGGTGAGCTGGTGAGGTGATGGTGAGTGGGGGGAGCTGGTGAGGTGATGGTGAGTGGGGGTGAGCTGGTGAGGTGATGGTGAGTGGGGGTGAGCTGGTGAGGTGATGGGAGGGGGGGTGAGCTGGTGAGGTGATGGTGAGGTGAGGTGAGTGGGGGTGAGATGGTGAGGTGATGGTGAGTGGGGGTGAGCTGGTGAGGTGATGGTGAGTGGGGGTGAACTGGTGAGGTGATGGTGAGTGGGGGTTAGCTGGTGAGGTGATGGTGAGTGGGGGTGAGCTGGTGAGGTAATGGTGAGGTGATGGTGAGTGGGGGTGAGATGGTGAGGTGATGGTGAGTGGGGGTGAGCTGGTGATGTGATGGTGAGTGGGGGTGAGATGGTGAGGTGATGGTGAGTGGGGGTGAGCTGGTGAGGTGAAGGTGAGCTAGTGAGGTGAGGGTGAGCTGGTGAGGATGAGCTGGTGAGGTGATGGTGAGTGGGGGTGAGTAACGACGGTGACTATGTAAGTCGTGGCTTTGTCACCGCACGTGTGAACTCGTGTGATTCCCATGATGCATCGCGGCGTGATGAGGCTCGCGCGCGCAGAGTTAATTGCCCCCCGCTAATTCATGCCCCAGAGGTAGGGGAGGGGGGAAGGGGGGATAGAGCCCCCCCCCCCTCCGTCACCTCCCACCAGAGGGAAGCGCCGGTCCCAACTTAATCTGAACACCTGTCTAGAAAATATAATTATCCTCCGGTGATGGAGCGCTCAAACATCATCTCCGTCACCACCACGACCATCACAAACAACCATCTCCGCCTTCGCCGGTGTCACTTGGGTGACCACCCCAGGGCTCTGGTGCCAACCGAGACTCGTGCCGGGGGTCTCTTTGGGTGTCTCTCTCCTGGCCGCGCACAATGAATGATGAGCTCGAGTCGTCGTCGGCTCCCCGTGTCTCAGGTGTGGGTCGCAGCAGCGGCCCAGGTGTTCTTCTCGCTGGGCCCCGGCTTCGGGGTTTTGTTGGCGCTGGCGAGCTACAACCCCTTCCACAACAACCTGTACAGGTGCGAGTCGCAACACACCTGCGCCGAACGCAGACACGAACCGCGACAACCACAATCGACGCGACTGCCCCCCCCCCCCCCACCCGTGTCCCTGTGCTGCGTAGGGACGCGATTGTGACCAGCTCCATCAACTGCGCCACGAGTTTCATCTCGGGCTTCGTCATCTTCACTGTGCTGGGATACATGGCGGAGAGGCGCGGCGAGAAGGTGGAGGACGTGGCGAAGAACATTGGCGAGAGCTCCACCACTTACACCACCACCACCTCCACCACCATCACCTCCACCACCACCACCACTTCCACCACCTCCACCACCATCACCTCCACCACCTCCACCATCACCACCACCATCACCTTCACCACCACCTCCACCACCATCACCACCACGACCACTTCCCACCCCCTCTGCCACCATCACCTCCACCACCACCTCCACCACCACCTCCACCACCACTTCAACCACCACCTCCACCACCATCATCTCCACCACAACCACCACCACCACTTCCACCACCTCCACCACCATCACCTCCACCACCACCTCCACCACCACCACGACCACCATCACCTCCACCACCACCTCCACCACCATCACCACCACGACCACTTCCACCCCCTCCGCCACCATCACCTCCACCACCACCACCACCTCCACCATCACCTCCACCACCACCTCCACCACCACCTCCACCACCACCACCACCTCCACCACCATCACCACCACCACCTCCTCCACTACCACCACCATCATCACCTCCACCACCACCACCACCACCACCTCCTCCAATACCACCTCCACTACCACCTCCACAACCACCACCTCCACCACCACCTCCACCACCATCACCACCACCATCACCACCACCACCTCCACAACCATCACCTCCTCAACCACCACCTCCACCACCATCACCTCCTCCACCACCACCACCTCCACCACCTCCACCACTACCACCACCTCCACCACCATCACCACCACCTCCACCACCATCACCTCCACCACCTCCACCATCACCTCCACCTCTACAACCACTTCCACCACCACCTCCACCACCACCACCCTCACCACCATCACCACCACCACCACCACCATCACCTCCTCCACCACCACCTCCACCACCTCCACCACTACCACCACCTCCACCACCATCACCACCACCTCCACCACCATCACCTCCACCACCTCCACCATCACCTCCACCTCTACAACCACTTCCACCACCACCTCCACCACCACCACCACCCTCACCACCATCACCACCACCACCACCATCACCACACCTCTACCACCATCACCTCCACCACCACCTCCACCACCACCTCCACCACCATCACCACCACCACCTCCAACACCACCATCACCATCACCTCCACCACCTCCACCACCATCACCACCACCATCACCACCATCACCTCCACCACCACCTCCACCATCACCTCTACCACCACCACTTCCACCACCACCTCCACCACCATCACCTCCACCACCACCACCTCCACCATCACCTCCACCACCATCAACTCTACCACCTCCACCACCACCACCTCCACCATCACCTCCACCACCACCACTTCCACCACCACACCACTAAACATAACCCTTCACCACCTCCACCACCTCCACTACCACCACCACCACTTACCCTCCACCACACCTAACCCTCCACCACGATTCACCACTACCTCCACCACCGCCAGCTGAGGCGATGCGACAGGAGGAGGGATGAGAGGGGATGAGAGGGGATGAGAGGGGATGAGAGGGATGAGAGGGGATGAGAGGGGATGGTTTGTGGGTGGTTTCATTCTCGGCGCTTCCCCCTCCCCTCGTGGGGGCACAGTGAGGGGGGGGGGGCTCACCTGTGGGTACCCCCCCCCCCCCCCCCCAGTCGAGTAATGGACGCCCCACTCCCTCCCCCGCAGGCCCGAGCCTTCTCTTCATCACCTACCCCGAGGCGATCGCCACGATGCCCGGCGCGCCATTCTTCGCTGTCATCTTCTTCATCATGATGGTCACCCTGGGGCTGGACAGCACGGTGCGACGCGGGTTCCCCCCCATCACCTCACCTCACTCACCTCAAACACCTCAACTAACCTCACCTCACCTGACCTCCATCTGAACTCACCTCGCTTCAGCTCACTCACTTCAAACACCTCACCCGACTCACCTCCACCTTGCCGCACTTCAACGCAACTCACCTGACTCACCTCAACTAACCTCACCTCATCATGGGACCTCCTTTGCCAGTACCAAAATATGATCACAGGTTTTTTTCCCCTTTTTTCTGGCAACAAAACAGTTGTGTTAGGATGTTAAAATACCAAAGTGAAACCTTTTACAAGGAATCATGTTGCTGCATTCACCACAATGCTGTGGTCAGAATGCAAACAAAAAACGTACTCTGATAATATATGCATTGTCCTTGAAACTGACTGGTCCACACCAGAGACAGCTTTCTTTTGAGCCTAGTCTCAAACGGTGTTAGACCAGAGGACGCCTTTTGGCCTTTTGGCGTCCTCTGGTCTATGATCACAGTTTGTTTTTGTGTGCATTCTGACCACAAGCATTGTGCTTAATGCAGACCACGATTCCTCGTAAAAGGTTTCACTTTGGTGTTTCAACCTCACCTCACCTGACCTCCAACTCAACTCAGATCACCTCACCTGACTTCACCTGACCCTGGTTCGACACCATATGCACATCACCTGCTATGGCGCACACGCACGCAGACACAGGTCCACCGTGTAGCCCTACGGACTGTGAAGCAACGCGGTGCCCGCGAGTAGCGCCCGCCTGCGGAGGCCGGCGCGTCGCACGAGCGAGCGGGCGGAGCGCCGCGACCGTCAGCGCCATCGCACTCGCTGCTCGGAAGGGCACCACACGGGCGCACAAGTAGCTACACATGTAGTAGCAACACATGTTGTAGTAGTAACTACACATGTAGTAGTAGTAGTAGCTACACATGTTGTAGTAACTACACATGTAGTAGTAGTAGTAGCTACGGGCCCCGTACTTTCAAGGGCCCCGCGCTAAATGCTTTCAAGCTATCAATTCCGGTTCAGTGATTCTGCACTTGCTCTATTACTATAGTACTGGACCGCCTTCGACTTTTACGAACGACTGGGTGTTTAAGGTTAGCGATTTGTCGTATGATCTGGCTGTATAGCAAATGCAAAAACACAACTACTTTACTATGCAAGTTCAACATTTATTTGTTTTAATATTTACGTGTTATATTTTTTTATTTAGGGCCCCTTTATAACATGTGCTACAGGCCCGCGCACTAGCTTCTTAGTCCGGCACTGCTCACGAGGGGTAGCCAGAGGATGCCGCCCGTCTCGGAGGTGGAACGTCGACGACGATGCGATCGGCTCGCGTGCAAAGGTGGCACGCGGACCGGTTGCGTTGCGTGGCCGTGAGAGGCGGCGGCCGCTTGTGGAGGCCTTCATCCAGCAGTGGATAGATGACGGCTGATGGCGGTGACGTTGGCGACGACGTGTGTAGTTCGGAGGGCTGGAGGCGATCGTCACGGCGGTGACCGACGAGTTCCCCCGTGTGTTCTCGCGGCGCCGCGGGCTCCTCCTGCTCCTCGTGGTGTTCACCTGTTTCCTGGGCTCGCTGAGCACGCTCACTCAGGTGAGTGTCTCGCTCGCTCAGGTGAGTGTCTCACTCAGGTGAGTGTCTCACTCGCTCAGGTGAGAGTCTCACGCTCACGCAGGTGAGAGTCTCACTCTCGCTCAGGTGAGTGTCTCACGTTCACGCAGGTGAGTGTCTCGCTCAGGTGAGTGTCTCACTCAGGTGAGAGTCTCACTCACTCAGGTGAGTGTCTCACTTGCTCAGGTGAGTGTCTCACGTTCACGCAGTTGAGTGTCTCACGCAGGTGAGTGTCTCACTCAGGTGAGTGTCTCGCTCGCTCAGGTGAAAGTCTCACGCTCGCTCAGGTGAGTCTCACGCTCAGGTGAGTGTCTCACTCGCTCAGGTGAGTGTCTCGCGCAGGTGAGTGTGTCACGCTCACGCAGGTGAGTGTCTCACTCGTTCAGGTGAGTCTCACGCTCGCTCAGGTGAGTGTGTCACGCTCACGCAGGTGAGAGTCTCAATTCCACAGGTCGGTCATGAACTCACGCAGGTGAGACCGAGTCACCCTCGCGCAGGTGAATCTCGCTGAGTAACCGCGCATGAATGAAGGTGGCCTACGCACTAACAGTGGTGGTGCTGCCCGCGTCACGTGGTGTACTATGTGTGGCGCTATGCATGGGGACGTGATGGTCTATGCGTGGCGCTGTGCACGAGACGTGATGGTCTATGCGTGGCGCTGTGCATGGGGACGTGATGGTCTATGCGTGGTTGTTGTGTGCTGCGCGCGGTACATGATGTACTTTGCGCGTTGACGCGGGGCGAGACGTGGCCCGCTCCGCGTGATGCGCGTGCTGTGTGTAGAGTGGCCTGTCTTGAGGCTTGAGGTGGAGTAAGCGTTCAGATGGAGACCTCGGTCACCAAAAAGAGTGAAGTCAATAGAAATAGCGACAAAAAACAACAACCGCATCGCGTGGTACATTGAAAGCATTGCGCAGACACAAATGGATGTGAGACGCGAGTTAACGATTGCACTCCCTGCAGCGCAAATCGGCTCGGCAAGATTATTTTTAGACTGATCATGGTACAACTACCAGAAGGAATTATGTAAACATGAAAGCAGGTGCAGGGTGACTATCGTACTGAGATTTAATCGGAGGAGCGTATCATCTTGATGTCAAACGAAGTCATCGTAAATAATCGCCAGTTTAAAATCAAACTGTGACCGAGGTGGTAGAGTTCGATACGGGGCGTTGGGGGGGAGTGCTGTGCTACGCGTACTCTGCGTGCTGTGCGTGGGGGCGCTATGCGTAGTGCGCTGTGCTACGCTATGCCTCGTGTGCTGTGCGTGATTCGCTTTGCGTCGTGTGCTGTGCGTGATTCGCTTTGCGCGGTGTGCTGTATGGGCCATGCTACGCGTGCTTTGTTACACGCGGCATGCTATGCGCGCTGTGCTGTGTGGCCAGGGAGGCGCCTATGTGGTGAAACTGCTGGAGGAGTTTGGCACCGGAGTGGCCATCATCGCTGTGGTTTTGTTCGAGTCCATCGCAGTCTCCTGGTTCTACGGCACGGACACCCCCCCCCCACCCACCCCCCTCCTGATCCCCCTTTCTCCATCCTCACTCCTCCCCCACTTCTTCTCCCTGGCCCCTGTGCCTACCCGTACCCCATCCCTTTTCATCCGAACCCCAGACGGCGTGACCCCTGATATCCGCACTCAGTCAACCTGCCGCGTCACACACCAGCTGCAATATCCAGAGTGGCGTCTTAGATGATGGGCCGCCTGTGTGCACCTGCGCGCGCATGTGTGTGTCTGTGTGTGTCTGTGTGTGTGTGCGTGTGTGGGGAGCGTGTGTGTCTGTGTGTGTCTGTGTGTGTCTATGTGTGTCTGTGTGTGTGTGTGTGGAGAGCGTGTGTGTTTGTGTGTGTCTGTGTGTGTCTGTGTGTGTGGAGAGCATGTGTGTCTCTGTGTGTCTGTGTGTGTCTGTGTGTGTGTGGAGAGGGTGTGTGTCTGTGTGTGTGTGCAGAGCGTGTGTGTCTATGTGTGTGAAGAGCGTGTGTGTCTGTGTGTGTCTGTGTGTGTGTGGAGAGGGTGTGTGTCTGTGTGTGTGTGTGTGGAGAGCGTGTGTGTCTGTGTGTGTCTGTGTGTGTGAAGAGCGTGTGTGTCTGTGTGTGTCTGTGTGTGTCTGTGTGTGTGTGTGTGGAGAGGGTGTGTGTCTGTGTGTGTCTGTGTGTGTGAAGAGCGTGTGTGTCTGTGTGTGTCTGTGTGTGTCTGTGTGTGTGTGTGTGGAGAGGGTGTGTGTCTGTGTGTGTCTGTGTGTGTGAAGAGCGTGTGTGTCTGTGTGTGTCTGTGTGTGTCTGTGTGTGGAGAGGGTGTGTGTCTGTGTGTGTCTGTGTGTGTGTGTGTGTGGAGAGGGTGTGTGTCTGTGTGTGTCTGTGTGTGTGAAGAGCGTGTGTGTCTGTGTGTGTCTGTGTGTGTGTGGAGAGGGTGTGTGTCTCTGTGTGTCTGTGTGTGTGTGTGTGGAGAGTGTGTGTGTCTGTGAGTGTCTGTGTGTGTGTGGAGCGTGTGTGTCTGTGTGTGTGTGGAGAGGGTGTGTGTCTGTGTGTGTGTGGAGAGCGTGTGTGTCTCTGTGTGTGAAGAGCGTGTGTGTCTGTGTGTGTCTGTGTGTGTGTGGAGAACGTGTGTGTCTGTGTGTGTGTCTGTGTGTGTGTGGAGAGCGTGTGTGTCTGTGTGTATCTCTGTGTGTGTCTCAGTGTGTGTCTGTGTGTGTGTGTGGGGAGCGTGTGTGTCTGTGTGTATCTCTGTGTGTGTCTCAGTGTGTGTCTGTGTGTGTGTGTGGAGAACGTGTGTGTGTCTGTGTGTGTGTGGGGAGCGGCTGTCTAGCGGTTAGCGCGCTACGCTGCGAACCCGGCGAGTTCGATTCCCGCTCAAAGCAAACACCAGTGACGATTATCTGAACCCGTCATGGGCCTCCCCTAGGTCGATTCAGCCGTAACTGTGTAACTGGTGTGGTGTGTAAACATCGCCACTGGGGAAACAAAAGCGGCTGGGCGTGGTGTTGGCCACCCACCCCCTCGTGTACCGTGCCGGCCTTCATAGGTGCTTGCTAACAGCACTTGCCCCAACAGTCTGTACAGGCTATACGGGGGATCTTTGCCTTGTGTGTGTAAGGCGGCCGAGCGCGGTGTGCCGATCACACCACCCCCTCGTGCGCCGTGCAGGACCTTCATATAGGTGCTCGGCAACAGCACTTGCCCCAACAGTGCGTGAAGGCTACGCGGGGAATGTTTGTCTTCGTATTGACCGGGGTGTGTATACAGCCTCGCGCCTGACCCACCTGTCCGCTCCGCAGGTGTCAGGCGGTTCTCGTCCGACATTAAGGACATGCTGGGCTTCACGCCCGGCTTGTTCTGGCAGGTGTGCTGGGCGGCGTTCTCCCCCATCTTCCTCTCCGTGAGTTCCACACATCAGGTGCACTCACCTGGTACATGTTTCCTCTACGACACGCGCTTATGAAAATATCCTAGTCCGGTCTTATGCACTCATTTTCAGAGTTGATGAGACACCATCAGTGTGAGGGCTGCCACACGTTTGAAACCATTGGAGGTTGCAAGTGGCCCGCGGGTCTTACAATAAAGAACACCGCCCTGTTCACTCGGAGAATATTTCAACACATTTTGTGGTAGAATTCAATATTTTTATGAAGATTATTATCAACACACCTGGAAGAGGTTCTCAAACCACCCGATGTCATGTTTTAACTCACCTGCTACAGCTTCCAAAATACGCCTGGAGCCGAGATATCCTTCTTGAAGACTGTTGGGTCTTGGTTTTGAGTGTTATTTTATATTTAACGAGGTTTATCATTTTTTGTCGTTGATTCTGAGATCACTTCGTTTTTTTAAAATCAGTAACCAATTCTAAACGTCGACGTGTGGTGCGAGAAGGCAATACAGTTATAGATTCTGAAATATGAGAATGATGATCAGCCATAGACCTCGTCCGTGCAGATTTCCTTCTGCGAGGATGCGAGATCTTCCTCGTGAGCTGTCCCCTCTCTGCCCTTCCGTATCTCTCCCTTCTCTTTTTTTTACGATCAGTGGAAACAATAAGATGCTCGTGGTATTCGGCACTTTGCTTCGTTCATCATTTCGTAATTTTTATTTTATTTTTTTTATTAACATTTTAAACTCTGCTTCTCGCCCCCTTTCCCCCGACTCTTCCCCGCTCGCTCCCCGATCTCCATCGCTCTCTCCGCAGCTAATCTGCTTGAGCTTCCTGCTGACGACTCCGCAGCTGCGACTCTTTGACTACGCGTTCCCCCCGTGGAGCATCTCCGTGGGCTACGTGGTGTCGGCCTCCTCCTTCGTGTGCGTGCCGCTCTACATGATCTACGCGCTGGTCCGCGCGCCCGGCACACTGCGGCAGGTGAGGGGACGGGGTCGGCCGAGGGGTCAGATTCAGCTGAGCAGTCGAGGTCAGATTCTTGTAAGAGGTTGTGGTTGGGATTGGGGGTCTGTGTTGCCATCATAGGCAGAGTCGGGGTCATGGTTAAGAGTGAAGGTCAGGGTTGACCGGGACCTCGTTATTTGTTGAGTGTGGTAGTCCAGCAGCCTAGGGGACCCACGTGGAGTAGCCAGGGTTGGTGGATCACGCAGAAATCGCCAATCTGGTGAGACCTCCAAAACACACTGGATGTCTATGCGGCCAAATAGAAGGCAGCACAGCAAGTCGGTTCATGTTTCCACAATCTGTGGGTGCAACGGTGAATGTTATTCGCGGATCGGAATTCGTTTTTTTTTCATGAGCAGCGTGCCACGGTTTCCTGCCACACGCAAAGCACTCAATAACGAGGTGACCAAGCACTCCGATGCCGTGACCTTCCTGAAGACAAAAGAACGAGGTTTCCGTCGAGGCTGTCCAGGGTAAATAGACGACCACAATATTATTATTATTAAAACGAGTGGAGCCGCCCTGCCCGGGTCACCACAACTTCCCCCATTTGACAGAGCCGCCGCTTATCGCGACCCATTCCCCGCTCTTATCGCCCCCTTGGGCGCAACGCACGAACGCGCTCATGAAGACACCTCCCGCCGTGTTGGTGGTGGCAGCTGATAGTGGCGCAGCACTGGGCGATTCCGTGGCCGTGGTGGTGGTGGTGGTCAGTGCGGCCCACACGAATGGGCAGCGGTGTCACAAGCGTACCCCACCAACTCACGCTTTGGGGCTTTTAAGTTTAAGTAAAAAAAAGGCCACCATCGATACCTCCACCGCCATGGCTTCCACCTGCCAGATTCTACAGCAGTCGGCCACTCGTGACTGACTGGCAGGGTCTGATCTTAGTCTCAGCACCGTTCGTGGAGTCGTACACTGCGGTTGTAGATATCAATGCCCCCCCACCCCCCCATATCAGGGTCTCCAGTCTAATGGACCTTAGAGTCACCACCGTTTCAGATTTACTTTCTCAAACAAGCGGCATTTTATCGTATTAGGAAAAAAAAAACCCCCGTTTAGAATGATTAGGACAAATAAATAAGAAATCACTTCCCTGGAAAAAAAATTATCGCGCTCAAGACTCAGACAAATATTTACCCACGCCTGTACTACTTTGAGAACAAGCACACTTAACAGGCGATGCGATTTGAGGAATAACAGAATGATTGTGTTCATTGGTACGAGTTGAGTAATTCCTTCCACTTACAAACACGGAAACGCAGTAAAGGACTGGAACCAGGCCACGACGAACACACGGGACATGGGCCCCGAGATTACAGCCTTGCCCCTCAGACTCCAGCCTTGCGGCTAGGACCACAACCTTGAATTTCGATTTAAAGCTTTCGTGACTGCAGGGATTCATCTTCTTGGTTCTTTCGGTAAAGTCACGTAGAAGGGAAGTAATAAAATAATAAAAATAAAACATAATAAAATAATTCTCACGACGTTTCGGCCACAACGCAAGCAGCCATCCTCAGGTGAAGACCAGTGTCTGTCGGGGAGACAGCGTTCAGACACTGGTCTTCACCTGAGGACGGCTGCTTGCGTTGTGGCCGAAACGTCGTGAGAATTATTTTATTATGTTTTATTTTTATTATTTCATTACTTGCCTTCTACGTGACTTTACCGAAAGAACCAAGAAGATGACCACAACCTTGTCCGTTGCCTTGGCCCTGACACCTCTTAGCCTTACCCTTGAAATAACCCCACCTTGCCCCCTCGTAGACCCCGACTCTGCTGGTTGTGAAATGCTGCCCTTGCCCCTGTGAGACTCCAGCCATGACCCTGAGTGTCCGTGTGCCCACAGAGGCTGCGCGCGGTGGTGACGCCTGAGGCGAAAGGGAGGTCTCAACCTGGCCTCGCGTCTCCCCTCGCAGTCACGTCCCACGCCTGAGCGAGACAGCAGGGGGCCTCTGGGCTTGCCCTGAAAGGGAGAGAGAGAGGGAGCAAGAGTTCTCGGCCTTGCCCCCTGAGATGCTCCTGCGTGGCCCCGTGGGAGACTGCGGCTTCAGCAAAGAAGAGTTGAGAGTGGTGGGGCACTGCCAACTTCTGGATCACCCCCACCATGAAATTGCATTCCGGCGACGAGGAACTTAACAAAACGATAGCATCACACATCACAACAACAACAACAATGACACACGTCGATTATGGACCGATGTATACAATCAGGGAACAACTAATGCGTGGTAATTGTTCCCACAATTTATTTAGGGAGCTGAGTGGTTATGAGGTGCAGGATGATGAAGGGGTTGAGAATGAGATGTATGAGTGGGTTGTGGAAGAGGTGCAAAGAGAACATGTGATTGGAGATTCATTATGAGTGGGCTTGGAAAATATTGAAGAGGTTCAGGAATCTGGGGAGCATGGGGAGGGTGGAGAATTGGGCCCAGGAATACAATCGTTACGTGGATTATGTATTCACCTCAGAAACAATTCTACCAATGATGCAACGTGTCAGCGTCACCTTATACGTTTAATACAAATATGTTATTTGGTAACACTTTCTGACTATGGAAGGGATTGTCTTTTACTCAACAGCTCGTAATGGTTAACCATGCACATGCAAGGCTATACGTCAGGACACATACACAAAAAAAGTTGGCATTCTTTTCAGACCCCGTGCCGTGACGTGCGGTCTCCAACTCACGTGGGTGTAAATCTTGACTCGCTTGTGTTGTCATCGAAACGTCCGAGATTTTGTTTATTTTATTTTTCATTAATTTGAACCTATTTACGTGACTTTACCAGAAGACCCAAAGAATAATCACGTGGTGTACTCCGACTCTCCGGCCTCTCTCCTCGTGTGCGACGAAAGAAGGGCCATCGCCCCAAATGTCGCCTAGTGTGTACAGTACTCGTCATTGTAAAGCTATCGTGTTGTTGAGCTGTTGAGTTGTCATTTGTGCTTGTGCGCCACTGCCAAACGCAGCAGCAGCAGTAACACTAAACAATGCTTCATAGGGAGGTTTGCCGGTGAAGAGGTTGAGGAGGTTACGGTGCACGTGATGCAGGAGGAAGAGAATAATGAGATAAGGCCCGGGCAGCCTTGTTTAGAGATGGGAAACATCGTGGAGGTTTGGTAGCTGCAGAGCTTGAAGAGGAGGATGGTGTTGAGGATGATGTTGAGGATGAGGATGGTGTTGAGGTTGAGGATGATGTTGAGGATGAGGATGGTGTTGAGGATGAAGATGGTGTTGAGGATGAGGATGGTGTTGAGGATGAGGATGGTGTTGAGGATGAGGATGGTGTTGAGGATGATGTTGAGGATGAGGATGGTGTTGAGGATGAGGATGGTGTTGAGGATGAGGATGGTGTTGAGGATGAGGATGGTGTTGAAGATGAGGATGGTGTTGAGGATGAGGATGGTGTTGAGGATGAAGATGGTGTTGAGGATGAGGATGGTGTTGAGGATGATGTTGAGGATGAGGATGGTGTTGAGGATGAGGATGGTGTTGAGGATGAGGATGGTGTTGAGGATGAGGATGGTGTTGAGGATGAGGATGGTGTTGAGGATGATGTTGAGGATGAGGATGGTGTTGAGGATGAGGATGGTGTTGAGGATGAGGATGGTGTGAGGATGAGGATGGTGTTGAAGATGAGGATGGTGTTGAGGATGAGGATGGTGTTGAGGATGAAGATGGTGTTGAGGATGAGGATGGTGTTGAGGATGAGGATGGTGTTGAGGATGGTGTTGAGGATGAGGATGGTGTTGAGGATGAGGATGGTGTTGAGGATGAGGATGGTGTTGAGGATGATGTTGAGGATGAGGATGGTGTTGAGGATGAGGATGGTGTTGAGGATGAGGATGGTGTTGAGGATGAGGATGGTGTTGAGGATGATGTTGAGGATGAGGATGGTGTTGAGGATGAGGATGGTGTTGAGGATAAGGATGGTGTTGAGGATGATGTTGAGGATGAGGATGATGTTGAGGATGAGGATGGTGTTGAGGATGAGGATGGTGTTGAGGATGAGGATGGTGTTGAGGATGAGGATGGTGTTGAGGATGGTGTTGAGGATGAGGATGATGTTGAGGATGGTGATGAGGATGATGTTGAGGATGAGGATGGTGTTGAGGATGAGGATGGTGTTGAGGATGAGGATGATGTTGAGGATGGTGTTGAGGATGAGGATGATGTTGAGGATGGTGTTGAGGATGGTGTTGAGGATGAGGATGATGTTGAGGATGGTGTTGGGGATGAGGATGGTGTTGAGGATGAGGATGGTGTTGAGGATGATGTTGAGGATGAGGATGATGTTGAGGATGAGGATGGTGTTGAGGATGATGTTGAGGATGAGGATGGTGTTGAGGATGAGGATGGTGTTGAAGATGAGGATGGTGTTGAGGATGATTTTTTTATGGATGAGGATGATGTTGAGGATGAGGATGGTGTTGAGGATGATTTTTTTATGGATGAGGATGGTGTTGAGGATGAGGATGGTGTTGAGGATGAAGATGGTGTTGAGGATGATGTTGAGGATGAGGATGGTGTTGAGGATGAGGATGGTGTTATGGATGAGGATGGTGTTGAGGATGAGGATGGTGTTGAGGATGATGTTGAGGATGAGGATGGTGTTGAGGATGAGGATGGTGTTGAGGATGATGTTGAGATGGTGTTGAGGATGAGGATGGTGTTGAGGATGATGTTGAGGATGAGGATGGTGTTGAGGATGATGTTGAGGATGAGGATGGTGTTGAGGATGAGGATGGTGTTGAGGATGATGTTGAGGATGGTGTTGAGGATGAGGATGGTGTTATGGATGAGGATGGTGTTGAGGATGATGTTGAGGATGAGGATGGTGTTGAGGATGATGTTGAGGATGAGGATGGTGTTGAGGATGATGTTGAGGATGAGGATGGTGTTGAGGATGAGGATGGTGTTGAGGATGAGGATGGTGTTGAGGATGAGGATGGTGTTGAGGATGAGGATGGTGTTGATGATGAGGATGATGTTGAGGATGAGGATGGTGTTGATGATGAGGATGATGTTGAGGATGAGGATGGTGTTGATGATGAGGATGATGTTGAGGATGGTGTTGAGGATGAGGATGGTGTTGAGGATGAGGATGGTGTTGAGGATGAGGATGGTGTTGAGGATGAGGATGGTGTTGAGGATGAGGATGGTGTTGAGGATGAGGATGGTGTTGAGGATGATGTTGAGGATGAGAATGGTATTCTTGGTTCTTTCGGTAAAGTCACGTAGAAGGGAAATAATAAAATAATAAAACTGTAAAAAATTATCACGTTTCGACTGCAACACAAGCAATTATCATCAGGTTACTTGTGTTGCAGTCGAAACGTCGTGAGAATTTTTTATTGTTTTATTATTTCCCTTCTACGTGACTTTACCGAAAGAACCAAGAATATGAATCCCTGCAGTCACGAAAGCTTTAAATCAAAAGATGAGGATGGTGTTGAGGAGGGGATTGATGAGGCTGCCTGGGCGCTGCCACACGCAGGCCAGTGCCTTAGCCCACAGTTCGACAAGTGCCCTCAGCTAGTGCCGTGGGGATCACGTGGGAACGGCGCCCGTTCCCCAGCTCTTCGCAGCCACTAACTCATCTCTAGAAGCTCGCTTCAAACATTTACGCTCCATCATGTATCGCAATATATATTATTGTATCTAGCGCGCTTCAATTGGGTGTATTTCGTGAGCCAGCGAGTGACCGGATGGCGGCATGGTGAAGACCGAACGCCGTGATAAATCACCGTGGGCGTCCAGGTGCAGTGGTTTTTTTTTATGTTTGTCGACAAAAAACGAGAGCACTTTTAAGGCAACCCGTCACCGGCAACCACGTCGGCTTGTCACGAGAAATTGCCGGGCGGCGGGGGGAGGCGAGGGTTGGTGGATCACGCGAACGTTCCCCGGCTCGCCGGCAGAAGGCGACAGAGCGGAATGCGGACAAGCGTCAATCCGGTCCATCTGTGCAGGATCGAGTGTTGCCCCCTCGCACGAGTCGATTTCTCAGGCTACTCCGGTTCCCCTCCCACGTGCACGAATACGCGTCGATTAGCTGAACACATCTTAATACATCATGGGCCCCAAATCTTGGGCAATTGTTCGGAGCGCCGGGCTCGTCGCCGCTGCTGCCTTCCCGCTCGTCTGCGGCTCCTCCGCGCGTTACAAATTTGTAAAGCAAAAAAGCGTTGCGAGATGCAAAGTGCGTGACGCTCTGTGAAACTAACGCGTTGTGGTCATGGATGTCATCGCCGAGCCACTTAGTTGCATCTAGCCACGAGCTAAGGGGCCGTCCATAAATGACATCACGCACCTAGGGGGGGACATTTGTGACGATGTGTGATGATGAGGGGGGGGGGTTTGATAAATGTGACGTCACATCAAAATCAAAATGCGCAACTTTAAATAAATATAGACAACACGTTCTACTTAATTAAATATACTTTTTAATAAATGTTTTCTCCTGCAACATCAGAGTGCAGCGCCACATTAAATACGCACTACAATGACAATAGTTTAAAGCGATTTTAAGCATGTTTTATTTGGGGGGGGGGGCAGAGCATTGTGACGTCATATTTGAGGGGGGGTCTGACTTTTTGTGACGCCGTGTGACTGGCGGGGGGGGGGGGGGTCAAAAATCATCAAAAATCGCGTGACGTCATTTATGGACGGCCCCTAAGCTGGTTTACGAATCATATCTTGGGCACGCAAACTCGGTGTAGCCGTGCCAACTCTTTGCTGACCGAGAGTCGCCACGGCGAGTTCTCCACCGGGGGAGGGCAGCGATCAGACTTGCTGACGTCCGAGCCACTCTACAATCGACAATAGAAACCGGTTTGCGGCCACCGGTTTCCGCGTGACGATCGGCGGCGACGATTGCCCTAAAATCGGCCGGATGCGTCGCGATGTTCGCGTGGCGTGCCGGTCACTCGCACAACGCCGTCGCTCTAGAGAATTACAGCCCGGACGAAAAAGAAGATGATGATGGTCAAAGCTTGTTTATGATTATATCTTGCCGCGTGTTATACATACACACACACACGTTCTGTAACCACGTGTCAGACTTGTTAATGATGTTACGTCCCTTAGTGGAGATGGCTCCGCGCGATAAGGGCACGGGGGAGTAATGCAGGCAGTGGCCGGTTGCATAATCGCCTACCTCGAGTGATATTTTCCTGTCGCCTGCGCTCTGTGTTGACGTGAGCGAAGCGGAAATGTCATTGAAGGATTTTTGTTGTTGCCCAAGCGGCCACTTGGAGCGCGCGCCAAAAGGAACGCATCAGCAGCCATCACGGCCAGAGGGTCGGTCTCGCAATCGTCGCCCAAGTCCGTTACACGCTCCTGATGGTGACTATACACGCCCTACGTAATGTTAAGGAGATCGAATCCGCAACGAATCCTTCACGTGCTGCGCAGAAGGATTCCGTGGCGTTTGTTGTTTGTATTTGCGCGCCACTGCCAATGCATTAATTGGCACACAAAAATATTGTATATGGAGAAAACCGCAGAGCTTGGGCAATTGTTGGTAACGCCGGCCTCCTCGCCGCGTGGCTTCCTTCCAGCTTCTCTGTGGTTCCTCAGCGATTGCGAGAGAAAGCAACTTGCACGAAGGAATATAAAACGAAACATTGGCAATGTGTCAACTTTGAATCGGCGTACCTTACATTATGCGTGACACACGCGTGGACACGCATGTGCAAGTACATACGTACACGATCTCTCTCTTGCACTGAACCATTGCTTTCTATGCACGTGTTTATCAATCATGAGGCGCGGGCAGTGTGTAACGACTTTATATTTTGTGTTCTTTAAAATAGCGGTTGCTTATCACAGGCCACTAAAAGCCCAAAATGCCAAGCCGCCAGCAACCAACGGCACTACGTTAAGTGTAATGTATAGCTACTATAGTTAATACGTTACTTTCTTTGAGCAAGCTGATTTGCGAGAAAGGCAGATTGGATGACGTTGAGAGCAGTGGCGTGGTGGGGGGCCTCGATGGGGCTTCGGGGAACTCTGCCCCACGGAGCCTTAAGTTGTTTACGGCAAAGGGGTTTTTAGCAGCACAGACGCTGCTGAAACATAGATCACAACGAGGGTGTGGTGAGGAAGCAAAGACATTTAGTGAGCCCGTTGAGTCAACAAGAGCCGTGGACGTAGCGGAACAGAGCAAGTTTGCTTGACTTTTTTGTTGTTTAGCCGATAATTCAACGTCCCCGCTCGTGCACGCTCGGAAGCCGCTGCCGGACAGTTGAGCTGCCGTCTACAGAGGGGCTTTGTAGGGAATCGTGACCCCCCTTTCCCAGAGATTCCATGAATTAACACTATGGGGACCTCATTTGCCAGTAAAAATATGATAATTGGTTCTTTACCCTTCTATCTGGCAACAAAACTGACACCTTTTGTGCGCCTTTTGGCGTCATCTGGTCCAACCCATATGAGACTAGGCTCGAAGGAAAGCTGTCTCGGGTGTGGACCAATCAACTTCAAGGACAGTGCACATTATCAGAGTTATGTTCTTTTGTTTGTATTATGACTGCAGGTATTGCGGTCTATGCAAACATGACTCCTTGTAAAAAGGTGTCAGTTTTGTTGCCAGATAGAAGGGTAAAGAACCAATTATCATTCCATGAATTGTCACGATTCGCGATTGACTCCGCTGATACTCAGGCATTGGAACGGTCCTCGCGGGTCTCGCTACCAAGGGGGAAGACCTAAGGCGAGACGGTGGGGAGACTGTGAGCGCAGATGGTGGGGGTCATTACGTGTCGCCTCTGTAGCAGCAGCTGCTGCTGCGAGATCTGCCCGGAGGGTTGAGAGGGTTGGCGAGGAGGCGCGGTAGCGACAACGGATTTGGCCGGGATGTCATCATCCCTTACTTGCTTAACGGGCACTGCCCTCGTCTGCACTGCCTCGTGCGCACGCGTCTGTACTGCCCCATTCCCAGCATTAGCCTGAACAAGCACAAACGAAGGCAATGTCAATAGTGGATGTGAACACGAATGACTCGTTCGATGGCTGAGCACGAGAGGGCGCTGCAACACAGCGTGTGGTGTCGCGAATTCCACCGCGCGGAGCGAGCGGGTCCACCTCGTTTTGTCGTGAACTTGTAACGATGCGTCATTGAGTCTAACTTTTTTTAAATTTTACCAGGTAAGGCCCACTGAGCTATATAGGTCTTTTTTCTGAAGCGAGCTGGTCACAAATGATAGCTCAATGGAGTGGCATATCGTGTGGAAATGAATAGCAGCCAAATACTCTAAATGCACATTTCCAAATGCGGAGGGGAAAACCGGAGAACCCAAGGAAAAATCCACGCGACCACAGGGAGAACATGCAAACTCCAAATATACAAGGGTCGGGATAGAACCCACGACCTCCTGTATACCAGACGAGGTAGTTAATATCTCGCCACCGCGGTACCTCGATTAATCGATCAATATCGATTCTTAAGCTCAAGATACATGCATCAAACCGAGTGAGTCAGAACATTTTTATTAGTATACGTTGTGTGTAATGGGTTTTTATTAGTATACGTTGTGTGTAATGGGTTTTTATTAGTATACGTTGTGTGTAATGGGTTCAGGTGCCACGTCCAGCCACAAGAGGCCGCTACGAAATGTATGACCGGGATACGGGAACTGTTATAGACAACAATACATCTGGGATGGGTGACTGCCTGGAAAGCTCAGCTGCTTTGAGCTTGGTTCGTACCGTACTTGGATGGGTGACTTGGAAACACGAGGGGTCGTAGACTTGGGCCGCTAGATGGTAAGAGCAGCACAATAGATTCCTGAATCCACCAGTGCGAAAGTTTGAATGTCACCCCTCGTATAATGCGTGGCAGGTCTTCTCCTGGGTTCTTCAGTTTCTTCCCGAACGAAACCAAACTCGATTTCATGGAATCGACCAAACATACCAATGCAGGACTATCTGCTCATTTTCTAAATTTCGAAAATTGCACTGCACATTTCTCAATTGGGATTATACCCAGAAAATCATCGCCCCTTACTGGCAAACTGATGCTTCCGGTCACTATTGCAAACGAGACTATCCTGGCCTCTTGAATTCTCACCTGGTGCATCTAAATACTGTAAACGTGAAAACGTTAAATCTTTTGACAAAAATAATCTCGAGACTCAATTGGGCTTTACTGGGTAAACAAAATGCGTGTTTGATTATCACTCACACCCCCCTCGGTGAGCCAGATGACAATAAGTTTAATTCCTCGGTGGTTACTTCCTCATCCCAGCCGCTGTGGTAGGAAGTGAATTCGGGACCCCGGGGGCTGGAGACCCCCACGATCCCCGCTGCTCTCACTGGGGGGCCAAGACCCCCCCTATACACTGGCGGCCTGCGCGTTACCTTTCCTACTGGCGTAACATCTTATGTATTCAGACTATTTTCTTACTGCAATACACTATATAATAAAGTATACAATCTCATCACGCGTCGTTGCAGATCATGGCTACTGTGTAAACGGATGAGACCCAGAAAGCCTAAACCGGTCCAGAATGTGCTCGCTTTAGTACAATGCCGCTGGATTAATATTGAACGAAAGGCCAAGCGGGCCGATTGAAATTCTGGATGTCTCCTAAATAATAAAGAGACTCGAAACAACAAACGCTTCCCACGCGCGCGGACCGACACATGGGGCATCGTATCGCACGTGTCGCCTCCATGTCACTGCCAACCCATCCCCTGCGGCCCAGGGCTCCCAGCGACGACCCCGGCGGCCTGAACGAGCCCCCGCAGGTACGGCGAGTCTGGGACACCTCCGTGATTCCAGCGCGGGTTGTCCCGCATCAGCTGCCGCGCCAGCTGATCGGCGGGGTTGAAGCGAGCCCGGGGCCCGCTGTCTTTCCCCCACGCCGCGTCCCTTAGCGCGGCCCGAGCCGGACTGGGGTCGTAGTCCCCAGGGCCGCACCCGAGGAACTCCACGTCGCCTGCTGCCTCGGGCTGGGACCCCGGGTCCAGGAGGAGGGCTGCGGAGCCCGGCTCGCGAGGGTCCTGGGAGGGCTTCCCCGTCAGGCCCCTACGCTCGGCCTCCACCAGGAGCTGCTCCATGGCGGGCACGAGTGTGGGCAGCAGGTCCTGCAGCAGGTCGAGGTTGTGGGGTGGGGCCGCAGGGTCCGTGCTGCTCCAGTCGCGGGCGAGAGGGTCACTCGGGAGCGGGATGTGCAGACGTCCTCCCAGAGGACTCGCCAGCGGCGTCTGGCGTTCGAACGAAGGTGCCGAGTCTTGTCGCGACGGACGTGAGTGTCCCCGTGCGGAGATCTCCCGCACTGTGAGGTTGGTGGCGTCTTGTGCTCGATCCTGAAGATCGGCGGTGTCTTCCTCTTGCCCTCGACGGCTGGTGGCGTCTTTTGATTGATCCCCAAGGTCGGGCGTGTCTCCTGGAACATCGGCGGTGTCTTTAGATTGATCTCGATGAGGAATGTCCGTCTGATCTTGCGTTCGAGGCGTGTCGGTTTGACCTGTGAGCTGAGACACGTGGGTCCCATCTTGAAGATGGGAGATGCCTTCAGCTTGGCCTTCGACAGTGGAGGACACCTCCTGTGCGTGCGCCAGGGGACCGGGGGCATCTTCCGCGAGCTCTCGATGACCGGAGAATCCTTCGGCTTCTTGCGAGTCCCCTGGCGTGGAGGTCTCCATCCTGGAGCTGCCGCCTTCCCTTAGCCCCTCCATCTTCACGCCGCAGCAGCAGCAGCAGCGGCAACAGCTGCGCCGTCACCTTGGCGACCGACTTTGTTTACCTCTCGTCGCCTAGCAACCTGGCACGTGCCGCGAGCCGGTGACGTCACGCGGCCGTTTCCGATCAGCGACACCCCACACCCCTCCACTATTGGTTTCGCGGTATCGATCCTGGTTATTGGGATTATTACGTTACTATTAGATTATTGAATCGATTGTTTTTTTATATCATATTCGCCTGTAATATGTTCGTATTAGTAAACGTGCAGATTATTTTATAAGCGAGATAAAATAAGTGCAAAATAGGAGTGCAAAATAATCGATTATTGTACGAAAGATGTTAAGCGTTATTCGTGAACGTTGAATCGATTTTAATCGATTAATTGTTGCTCGTCTACCCCAACTCCCCCGCCCCTTCCCCCCATCGAACCACGTGACCCTGCGCCGCTCTCCCGGAATGGAGAAGACGCGGAGAGGGGGCTGAGCGCGTCTTCTGGAAGAGGAAGATGTCTACCGGCGACTGGGGAAAAAAACGCGGGCTACGCGCGTGCGCAGTGGATCAGAGGCGGGAGGGGGGGAGGAGAGGGGGAGAGGAGTGGGGGGAGAGGGGGGAGGAGGAGAGGGGGGAGAGAGTGAGCGGGGGGGGGGGGTTACATAAAACAAAGTAAAAAAAAATTACGAAATGAACGAAGCAAAGTGCCGACTACACCGAGCATCTTCTTGTTTCCACTGATCGTAAAAAATAAAAAAGAGCAAAGAAAAAAAGAGCAAAAAAAAATAAGAAAAAAATAAAAAAAGAGGTTGGGAGAGGGAGGAGAGAGGGAGGGGAGAGGGGAGGAGAGGAGGGAGAGAGGGGGAGGAGAGAGAGGGGGGAGAGGGGAGGAGAGGAGGGAGAGAGGGGAGAGGGGGAGGAGAGAGAGAGGAGGGAGGGAGAGGGGGGAGGAGAGAGAGGGGGGAGAGAGAGTACAGAGTGGGTGGGGACCACAGAGGTAGGTAGCGAGGGGGGGGAGCGAGAGGGCGTGGACCGTGCGTGGAGGTGGGGGACGAGCGAGGAGACGGAGTGCGGGGTGGTGGAGAGGCGGAAGGGAGCGGAGTGCGCAGAAGAGAGTGGTGGGGAGGAGGATAGAGATTGGACATCGTGCAGCTGAAGCGGGGAGGGTTGCAGGGACAGGAGGAGGAGGGGAGAGCTGAGGGAGAGTTCGGGGAGCGTTGGGGAGAGGATGTGAGCGGCATGGCCCTGGTGACCGTGCAGAGAGCCCCCAGCCCCCTTCCCGCTGACATCTGCCCCGTGGACGAGGTGAGGGCAACTTCGGGGGGCGACTCCGAGCAACTCGAGGCGACTTGTTGGTTGACGAACTCGAGTTGTGGTGACTTGGGTACTGAGGTTGAGGCTCGGGACAACTTGGGAGTTCGATGGGAGCCGAGGTCTACGAGTTCCGAAACTTGCGTCCTAGCGACTTCTGTTCGTTGTTGTTGTTTAGTTGTGTATACGTTGGGGGGGGGGGGGGGGGTGTCAATTGTGTGTTCTTTGTCGTATTCTCGCATTTTCTGGTGTCTGTGTGTTGTCGTGCGTGTGTGTGACCCGAATCGTATGGGGAGCGGTGGCGCAGTGGTTAGCGCGCTACGCTGCGCTATGGACCTGGCGACCCGGGTTCGATTCCCGCTCATCGGCTAACACCAAAGTGACGATTTTATCTGAAACGGTCCTGGGCCTCCCCTAGGTCGACTCAGCCTTAAATGAGTACCTGGTGCGGTGTGTAAACATCGCCACTGGGGAGACAAAGGCGGTCGGTCGTGGTGCTGGCCACCCACCCCCCTCGTGTACCGTTCCGGCCTTAATAGGTGCTCGCTAACAGCACTTGCCCCTACAGTCTGTTAAGGCTACACGGGGGATCTTTGTCTTGTGTGATCTGCATCGTACAGTACAGTAGTTGTGTGTTGTACCTGTTGCATTGCAGTGGGTGTTTGTCGTGGTGCAGCGTGTGGTCTCCTGTGATGTGTAGTGATTGTGTTGTGTGTGTGCTTGTGTAGTGTTTGTGTTCCTGTGCAGTGTGTGAGAGTTGTTGTGTGGTGTGTCTGCTACAAGTTGGTGTTGTTACGTTGTTGTGTAGTGTGTGTGTGTACAGAATGTAGGCATCTCCTGTGTGAACCTCACTTCACGTGTCTCTTGCTGTTGTATATCGCTTGTGTGTAGTGGTGTGTATATGTGTTGTAGTAGTGTAGCTGGTGAGGGTCAGGGTGTGATGGACACGGAATGATCTAGCCGTGTCGTGCGTGCGTGTGTCCCCTCGCCTCCGGTGTCCGTGCAGAATGCCTCTGACATTCCTGACATGAACCTTACCGCGTGGTGGTGACCCCCCCCCCACCCACCACAGGTCACGTGGGTGGGTGGTGACCCCCACCCACCCACCCTCGGGTCGTGTGGGTGGTGACCCCCACCCACCCACCCTCGGGTCGTGTGGGTGGTGACCCCCACCCACCCACCCTCGGGTCGTGTGGGTGGTGACCCCCACCCACCCACCCTCGGGTCGTGTGGGTGGTGACCCCCACTCACCCACCCTCGGGTCGTGTGGGTGGTGACCCCCACCCACCCACCCTCGGGTCGTGTGGGTGGTGACCCCCACCCACCCACCCTCGGGTCGTGTGGGTGGTGACCCCCACCCACCCACCCTCGGGTCGTGTGGGTGGTGACCCCCACCCACCCACCCTCGGGTCGTGTGGGTGGTGACCCTCCAACCCACGGGTGACGTGGACCTCTGCGTATACACTCACACACTTCACTGCGGTCGAAGTGTGAGGAGGCCCCCACAACAAGAGTCGTGTATATTCAAGCCCCTTGACTTGACTGATACGATCAGCAGAGCTCTTTTCTGTTGTGTATTCGGTTATAAAACAACCCAAGCCTCCGGCGTGTAGTTTTTAGCCACACGCGCACACATGCCGCCGGCGGTGCCGTGATTTATCCCCAGGTAATAATGGAGTTGGCGGTGCCTGAGATCAAATCGCCGGAATGCGCCCATATCTACAGGAAATCTCCGAAACGAAAGCTGCCTTTGAGCCTGTATCTCGCTTGGAACAGTAGTGGCTCCTGTGCCCGTCGGGTTGTCGTAGGCTGCTGTGGGGCCTCCGTGCAGAGCAGCAGAGCGCCGTACGGCAGAATCCCTGGTTGTACTGCACTTTACATGATTCCACTCCTACGTTGACCTTTCCTTCACCAACTAACCCGCACTAACCAGCGCGGTGAATTTCAGTCTTCTCAAATATCCCATATGACCCTTGCAGCCCTAGATTGATCGAAGGGACTCTACATGATAAGGTGTATTGGGGAGTTATTATCACGATACTGGCATGTATACCATGGAAGGTCTTATTGCCTCCGTAAATGAAGAGAGCAAAACAGAAACGGTTTTAACGTGACAATTCTTGGATGAGAACGCTTTAAAAGGTAAATTACCTATTTCATATTCTTTGGGTCTTTCAGTAAAGTCACGTAGATAGGTTCAAAGAATATACCAAAAAAACTACGACGTTTCGATCGCAACAGAAGCGGTCGTCATCAGGAAAAGGGGGTTAGCCTCTAAAGGCAAACTGTTTATAAAGGTTTAAGATGGGCGTAGCCCAAGTGTGTCAGCAGCATGGATAGGGCAGCTAATGTTAATGTCGGGAAAACAACGACACCAGCAGTGGGTCTCCACCAATCAAAGGGCCGCCAGGCAAACTTTGCACCTCGCTCCACACACACACACGCTGCTGACGGTGGAGGTTGCTGCTAGAGGTGATGGTAGTAGTGGGTAATGATGGTGCTGGTGGTGGGCTTCCACCAATAAAGGGCTGCCAGGTCTAAAATGGAAACATTACAGCCAGTTATGACTTAAACTGGTTGATAACGTCTTTCCAGTGATTGCTGAGTTTGTACCCATCTTCTCGACATTAACATAAGCTGCCCTACCCATGATGCTGACACACTTGGGCTACACCCATCTTTAAACCTTTATAAAACAGTTTGCCTTTAGAGGCTTACCCCCTTTTCCTGATGACGATTGCTTGTGTTGCGATCGAAACGTCGTAGTTTTTTTCTTTGAACCTATCTACGTGACTTTACAGAAAGACCCAAAGAATATGAATTCCTTCAGTCACGAAAGCTTTAAGTCAAGATTTAACTCCCTATTTCATGTGAGTTATCTGTAATTACATGTATTTCCGAAAAATACAGTAGGCCCATTCAACTGTGCTTTACATTTACCCTTGATCGGTTCCACTGAACCAGAATGAAGGTTATGGGGAGCCCAGTGCATTTCATGCAAAAAGGGTGGGGTTAACTGAGTCACGGGACACATTTTCCATAGGGTCCTGCACGGAGATGTTTGGCCGCCACTTGCAGTGTCGTGGTCAATAATGGGAACCCATAACTCTGTTTCCATTCATAAGACGGGAGAGCTCACACGACTATACACAAATATCAACATTTCTCATTCGTATTAAAATTCTTCCAGTATTCTTTTAAAAGTCCACGTTTCAATCCAGCTGCTGGATGAGGGCCTCCCCAAAGCATGCGGGTCATGTGGGTTATTTGACCAGACTCAAGCACGCTGGTCGGCGAGCGTTCAAAGCATGTTCATGAGGACATGGACTTAAAATACAACAATGCATGTTCCTGCGTTGCCGTCTGATGCCCATCACGCAGCCCCCACACCACCCTATGACGAGCTCCGAGTGCAATCTAGTCGCCCATTCGAGCACCATCCAGACCCATCGCTGCTTGGCCTCCCGAGATCGGGCATAATCACCCGGTGATTTGGTCAAAGGCAGTCGGGGAGCGGAGAGGCCGATTGGAAGGTGGTTGTCGCTGCGCGTCCTCGTGGGGAGCTTTTGTCGCAACTCCTGGTGGGCTCGCACGCGTATCTCGTTGACCGGCGCTGGAATTTTTACAGATGCTCACTGCGGTATTTAACGTCTCGCTGACCTCCCTAGCAAGTGACTGTTCCAAAGTGCTCCAACACATTCGTCAATAACGCCGCCTTAAAAGGAACTCTATGATAGGCGACGATTTCAGCAGTGGTCCTCATAAACACAGAGGGCCATTTCCCACAACATCATCTGTTATATATATATTTTTTTGCTTTCAAGGCAGTGTTATTGACAAATGTATTGCGTTTGCTTTTATTATATGTGCTTTTGCGCCGCTGGCAACGCAGCATCACTTAATAATTGGTCCAAAGTGCTTTCGCACTGTGAGCGTGGCAGTAAAGATTAGCGCAGCACGCCCATTGTAACCAGCCCCACATTGTTCTCGATGTAATAATAGTGCCAATCGCGTTTACCCAGTAAAAGCCTCTCTGAGTCACAATACTCGTTTTCAAGAGGATCTGTAACTGTTTGGTCGATTCCATTCATCTGGGAGGAAACTGGAGTGCGCAGAGAAAATTCCAACGTGAAATTGTAACTCAAAACTGCCATCTCCTGGCCACCTTACTGCCCTTATTCACCTATGTTGCCTAGCAAGCCTGAGTGGTCACCCATCCACGTACTATTCAGGGTCGGCCGAACCTGCTTAGCCTCCGAGATCTAATGAGGTCAGGCGCTTTTAAGGTGATTTTTTTTCGTGGTCACTGTGTGTGACGCCGCTGCCCAGTTGCGCTGACCCCTCTTGAGTGTAAATGTACCGAAGATGTTTCCTTGTCCATCCAGCCACTGGGCCACAAGGCGGATGGCTCTCAGAGCACCGACGACGCTCCCCCTCGACGCGGGGCTCTGTTGTTGTTCCTCGCACGTAGTCATCGGATATGGTCCCTCGACGCGAGCGCTTAAACAATGCCTGTTGAGACGGGCAATGTTTTATTGATTGGGTAAACCTCCATGACTGTGCTTGTGCAGTGTTTCCCGTCTATTGTGTGGCAAAAGGGTGGATTGCGGTGGGGCTATTTTTTTTATTAAAGCACGCAAAGAAGCAAGGAGAGATGCATGCTTGGAATTGCACTTGGAGGACAGGGAGAGGAATACATACTGTGGAGAACACACGCAGGATAGAGACCTCTTATTGAACGTGAAGCTAAATTGTCCGCTCTTCAGGACACGTTCTTAGGAGGCGACAAACGCCGGTGATTGAGCGTCATGATGAAGTGACAGCTGGAGGAACGAAGACCCTTGAGAGTACAACCACCGTGGAGATGGAGCGATGAAATTGGCTCGGGAGACAAGTGCTCGATGGATGGTTAGGTAACAGGCCTGTGAGGGATGACGTCGGCTTGCTTAAACCCGCTGGATTTATCACGGCCTCCGCAGTAAAATTAGTCAGGA